AAAAAAAAAAAAAAAGAAACTGGAAAAGCAGAAAAACAGATGCTCTGCAGCCCAGTGCGGGGGCGGCTAGAACGAGATGGTCAGGGTCCCACCTGTTTGAGTGTTGCCGGGGTCAGAGGCCATCAGCCGGGGGCCCACACCCTCACTCTAGACCCCTCTTAGGGCAAAGCCTGAAGCCAGGATTCAATGGGAGGCCTTCCTACCCCTCCCCGACCCTGGGGTGTGCCCCAGGGTCCTGGTCCCAGGTGAACCTGGAGGCCCTGCTGTGGAGGGGCTCTGGTTGGGAGGGGCTGGGGCTCTGCCGCAGCCCTGCACACAGGCTACCTCTGAGGCCTGAACCCCGGGGCCTGAGGCTGCACCCCAGGTCACATCCTGGCCCCTCGCCACAACAAAAGCACCCTGTTCAGCCACCTGGGGGGGTGGCTAGGAAGAGCAGGGGGTCACAAATAAGAAATATGGGCCATCTCTCAGGCCAGCAAGGGTAGAGACCCCTCCAGCCCAGGCTCGAGGCCCACCCTGCCCTTCGTTTACCAGCTTTCTGAGCATAGCCTTGTGCAGTGCTCCATCTTATGAAACCAGGCCAAGAGCCCCCAGTGGCGACTAGGGTCCCTGGGAGGGCCCCAGCTTCCCCAGCTCCTATGGAGACCCCAGAGTGCAGGCTTGCTGGGGAGAAGCAAGACTGATGGGGCAGGTGTTGAGGTCAGGGAGGCCCCTCTCCTGCTGTGTGGAGGACATGGAACCCACACACAACACGGGACCCAGCGCTCTCTGAGGGCTGTGGCCTGGAGAGCCTCCCAGGCCCTGCACAGGGTACCTGGCTGCACCCCCGACTCCAGAGTGCCAGCCCCTCTGGTCAGACCATCCTGTTGGAATCTTCATAGGCCACAGTGTTGCAGCAAGTGACACAAACACACCTGGACGCCTGCCCCACATTCACCAAAACCTGAATTTCAACCCAAATACCCACATGGCTGGCCTCAGATATACCCACTGGGGTAGAGTGGGAGGAAGCGGCCCCCACCTCAGGCCAACACCAGCAGCATCTCACTGTGTAAGAAGCTGGGCTCTGGAACATTTTCTGGGGCCGCCTGGGGCTGTGGAGGCCCCTGTGCTTGCTAAGTTTGGGACAGGGACTACACACGGAAACCTCATGGTGTTTCAAGAACAGCCTAAGAGTGGGGAAGGTCTGAGGCGGGGTGGGGCAGGGGCTGGGGAAGTGGGGGCAGGCTCTGCTGGCTCTGCCCAGCCCCAGGGGGACTTCAGAAGACCAACATGTTTGGCAGCTACATTAGAACATGTATTTAAAAGCATTAAAAATATCTGCTGCTATAAAACCTCCGCCGCAGGCAGGAGTTTATTGGGAACCACGAGTGTGCGGTGCTGGGGGCATCTCTCAGGCGGGCAGGACGGCCCCCCAGGCTTAACTCAGGACACCCCCAACGGGACTGAGCGGCCCCATGGCCCCTCGGCCTGAGGCCACTGAGCTCCGCCTGCCCCAGGCTCCCTGAGGAAGCAGAGTCCTGACTTTCCGGAAGAACAGGACATGGAGGCTCTGGGTGGCTCCTGAGACCAGAGCACGCCTTCTGCGATCCGCAGCTCAGCACCGTCCTTCTGGCCTCCCAGCCCCGGGCCGAACGTTGGGGTTAATAAGCAGAGCAGTTATTCGGCTCCTGGCAGGAGCTCCCCCGTTAGTTTCCAGGTTGTGAGCACATTCATACTTAAGACTGTTTCTCTTTGTGTTTTAAGGGTCTGTCTCTGTAGTAAACTGAAATGTTAACAGAAATGCAGCTGGGCCCCTCCTAGCGTGGGGCGGGAGGTGGGCCTCTCGGTGGGTGGGGCTAGAAGGTGGCCTTGGAGTGTCCGAAGATGCAGATGGGGAAGTGCTTCACGTGCGAGGACCACTGCGCGGCCAGCTGGAAGAACTTGACGTCGCTGCACTCCACCCCGTCGATGAGGACTGTGGGAGAGGGCTGCCTGACCGCCTGCCCGCCTGCCCACCCTGTCCACCTGCCTGCCTGGCCCACCAGGCTGGGTAGCAGCCAGGGGTACAGGATGAGAAGGAGCCCCATGCTGGAGGGCACCAACACTTTCCTCAGGGACTCGGGGGCTCCAGGGTCACGCTGGCTCCTGAGGGACGCCGTTCCTGCCCCTGCCCTTCCACACCTCAGAGCCCTGGGGGGTGAGGAGGGCAGCACTTCCCCCAGGGCTGCCTGCAGGTGGGAGGAACAGACCCCACCGCCTCCTGCCAGGCGCTGCTGGTCCACATCCATCTCCACCTGCACAGGTGGGGAGAAGACACTGGGAGCCCCCTTAAAACAGAGACCCCTGTGGGGAGACAGGGCCATGCTGACCTGGAGGTCATCTGACCCGTGCTCAAAAAGAGGAAGGCCTCCCAGAGCTGTTTCTGAAACAGGTACTTGCAGAGTAACTCCAAAATGCTTTTAAATTACAAGTCACTATTTTTAGGCTGGGTGTGGTGGCTCACACTTGTAATCCCAGCACTTCGGGAGGCAGAGGCAGGCGGATCACCTGAGGTCAGGAGTTCAAGACCTGCCTGGCCAACACGGTGAAACCTCATCTCTACTAAAAA